TTAGGTTTCCTAACTCACTAAAGCTCTTCCCACACTGGGAGCACTGGTAGGGCCTCTCTCCTGTGTGAATCCGCTGGTGGATCTTTAGGTTTCCTGACTGAATAAAGCTCTTCCCACACTGAGAGCACTGGTAGGGCCTCTCTCCTGTGTGAATCCGCTGGTGTGTCTTTAGGTTTCCTAACTGATTGAAGCTCTTTCCACACTGGGAGCACTGGTAGGGCCTCTCCCCTGTGTGAATCCGCTGGTGTCCCTTTAGGGTTCCTAATTGATTGAAGCTCTTTCCACACTGGGAGCACTGGTAGGGCCTCTCCCCTGTGTGAATCCGCTGGTGTGCCTTTAGGTTTCCTAACTGACTGAAGCTCTTTCCACACTGGGAGCACTGGTAGGGCCTCTCCCCTGTGTGAATCCGCTGGTGTCGGTTTAGGGTTCTTAATTCATTGAAGCTCTTTCCACACTGGGAGCACTGGTAGGGCCTCTCCCCTTTGTGAATCCGCTGGTGTCCCTTTAGGGTTCCTAATTGACTGAAGCTCTTTCCACACTGGGAGCAATGGTAGGGCCTCTCCCCTGTGTGAATCCGCTGGTGTGCCTTTAGGTTTCCTAACTGATTGAAGCTTTTCCCACACTGGGAGCACTGGTAGGGCTTCTCCCCAGTGTTAGTCTGTCTGTGCTTTTTACAGCCTCTGTTTAAACTGAAAGTCTTCTCACCCTGGGAACCCTGTAAAGCTGTCAGTGTGTCTGTACTCATTCCATCCAGGGTACTGAGTGTGTCTGTACTGGGCTGAGCGGCACTAGGGCCAGGAGAAGTTGGTAAATGCTGGGTTGTGTTGACAGATCCAGCCCTCAGTTGTCTGACATACTCCTTGGGGTGAGATCTTTTGATATGTCGGTGCTGGTCAATGTCTGCTGTGTTGGAGGATGGACTCTGAGTACAAGCAAAGATTTGGGAGGATTCATCTGCTCTCCATGCTGTGGGCAAGATAGAGACAGTAAGTCAGTGCTGAGATACAACAGGGTTAATAGAAAAAGAAAGTCAGGAAAAAAGTGAATGAGACAAATAAATATCTTCTAAAGAGCATTTGTTACTCCATAAGCAGTTCATGTTCTCAGTGTGCTGTTCACACTGCAATCTCTGACATGCCTGAAGTGCACAGAGTAACAACACTGCTGGTTTGAAAAGGCAGCTTGAAGCACAGACTATAACCTCCAAATGTACTAAAACATTTGCAGTTTTGATGGTATTTGCTGGTAGTTAAAATCACCTTGGTTTGGAGGTTTCACAATCCGTTTGCTTCTCCTTCTCCCATCAGTGTTTAATGGAAGCGAACCAGTCAGCTCCTCACCAGTCACATCCTGAACCTCTGCACCCTTCATCTTTTGTCACAAAAACCAAACAACAAGGTAGAATAAGCTACTTTATAAGATTATATAGGTTGTTAGGCTGTTCTATTTGCTTATCAGAAAAACAGGAGCAGAAAGAAAATCAATTATTTTTAGGTTAGACATTAACCTACAATTATGTCCTTTTCTGGTGTGACTTACAGTCCTGAACTTCTGCACCCTTCATCTTATCGAGTGCCAATCCCATACCAGTGTATATTTAATAAGCTGTAGGTTTTTGCCCCACTGTGTGGAAGACACTGTCATCATTCTTTTATGTGTAATGCTTAAATTAAACCTTCAACAAAGCTTTCCTAATACGTTTTACATGTATCGTTACATATTATACATATAATGGGGTTTAAATATATACATGTAATATATAATACATGTATCTACTTTACTTGAAGCCTCAGTTTTCAACTAAATCTTTTATGTCAGGATTCTAAATTCTAATTTGAAAGATCTTCATAGAACAAAACCTTGACTGTAAAGGCTGACATACTTCTGCATCAAATCGACAGAGTTAGTACCATGTAGCCGTGAAGCCTACGCATAGCACCTCCCCAGAAAAGTAACTACACATTGTGCCAACGCAGACCACAAGAACTGATTGGTCCACTTGGCAGCGGTCGTTTTGTTTTAATATGAGCAAAGAACCCAGGTGTACTTATACTGGTGACTGAACCTGAAGCGTTAGCTATAATCTAACATTAAATAACTTATTTACTTATGTAATATTAGATATAAATAAAGCTTCAGTTTTATTTTCTCTCGCTTCTCCAGAATTTGAGCTAAAGTTTGTTGTTGCGGTCTTTCTCTGCTAGCATTAGCAAACTCTGTGTACTCTGCACTATGGTGCGTCTTTAGATGTCTTTACATGTCATATCAAATTGCTTGTTAAATGCCATGCTGCCCTTCCTCCACTTGACACTTTAGCAGTGTCTTACAGTCAGAGCTTACAGTCTGCTTTACTTCTGTCGTCGTCCCTCATCACATTAACATGTCCAAACTGCTCAGATCCTGCTACTCGACAATATGCCAGAGTGCCCCTCTTCTCTGCATTTATCCTTCCCAAATGTTTCTGGTTGTGATATTGCAAGTAAGTGGTATCAGTTCTTGGTATTGGACAATTTTTATGAGTATGAGCGCAGTATCGGCCTGATACCCAAAGCCAGTATCAGTGCATCCCTAATTATGTCCTCTTCCGATGTGACTTACAGTTGGCTGTTTTTGAGATTAGGGGCACGTTTGTACTCAACTCTCACAATGATTCGCTTATGCATTGTGGCCAGCACATGTATCATGCATTCATTCCAACCATCATTTGTGCAGCTACGTGTTTACATTTACATTATATCTATATGAGATTCAGTACCACCAGAATCCTTGGGTGCAGTATGGTCAATTTATGTTACTTTACGTACTTTATATAAGTTACAGCTGGTATTAAAGTAGCACCTGATTTGTTTTTTTTTAAAGAATGAGTGGCTGGAACATATTTAAAACAGAATATTTTAAGAGGCAAGGGAAAAAACATTCTGGACACTATTGTGTGTCTAATAAGGGGTGGGCGATGTGCAATATTAATACCGACATTGCAAGTCAAATACATGCAATTCTGAAATTGCAAGGACCACGATAGTCAACTGGGTTTGATCAGACTTTTGCATACCATCATACTGTACACACATTATACCACAGTATAAGGTATTTTCATAACATTAGTTTTTAATACAGTTCTGGGGTGAGTTTTCAGAATCCTTCTTAATGCTACGTCATTCATAAGTCATACCTTAAACTGTTCCTTAACGTTCCGGGGTGTTCTTTGAAATATCCTTATCGAAGTATACCTTCAGTAAGAGATACCTTCATAAGGTTGGTCTGAACCACTCTTATCACTTATCAAGGTTGTCAGCTTATATCGCTAGTGGCCCCAACAGCTCAGACTGCAACGTATCTGAAATGAGCAATATGCTGTTGGGAAATATGTAATAACTTAACTACTGTAATAACTAATTGTTTTTTTTTTTTTTTTTTTTGGGGGGGGGGCAATATAAATTGTGACATTGCAATGAGCACAATTGCAACACACACTGTCAAAGGATGCGATGTAAGAAATATTTTTGTGTCATTTTAAAATGAAGAATTAGACTGACATAGTAGACTGACATAGTAGACTGACATAGTAGACTGGCATAGTAGGAGAAGCATAAGAACATCAGATAGGAGGGTCACGATCTGGAAGTATTTTATGCTTGAAACAACAACTAGCAGCAAAGCGATTTGCAATCTTTGTAAAAACAAAGTTTTGAGGGGTGGGAGTAGTATTTAGTGGAAAATCCCAATAAACGAACTGCAATTTGGGAGTCGCTAGCTTGGGCTGTTTTGCATATTTGAAATGTTTTCAATATCACACAGCCATAATACTAAGTAGGCCTACGAAATACTAACTACTATGAAATATCTAACATACTACATTTGTGTGAAGTGACTTACTGCCCCACATACCCTCCATTTCACCTTGTAGTGGCTCTCGCTCGTGGTCCCTTCACCCTCAGATATCAGGTGTTCCCTCTGCTCTTTTTTAACTTCCCCGACACCCTGCTGAGAAGGTTTCTGGTTCATGAGGCAGCTGACTTTACTGCAGGAAGGCATCTGCTGACTGAAAACTTCTGGATGCTGAAGACACAAATGAACGTTTCAGGCAGACTGCACCACCTTAGGGCATATCCACAACGCTCCTACTTAGTGTTCAGGTCACATCAATGCTTTAGTGACACTGATAAATGCCTGTGTGTGAAGGTATCACCTGTCATGGTGAAACCCCTCTGATTGGCTGTTTCACCTCATCTCACCGTGTTGTCCGAGCTCCTACTCAGAGAGTGGGGAGTCCACCCATCCTCTGAATCGCTGTGTTTGCCATTGACCGGCCTCTCCGCCATTACTCTCCTGGATCTGCCTCTTGTCTTGAACGCCGAGGTGGTAGAATTCAGCCCTAGAGAAAATGGGGACAAGTGGGGATTATATCACTCTTGGTACTCGTGCGAGCCTGACGCTAGTTTCTGAAGCCTACCCATATCCAACATGGCCTGGTGGTTCCTCTTCATGTTCCTGTAGTGCACCTTCTCGCATCTCCGCAGCCTGACCCATTTAGCCTTGGAGAAATCGGCCCGGATATCTGCATAATCATCCTGTGTAGGGACAGGGACCTCTGTGAGGCTTCTTCATGCTTTACAGGGCAGGGACACTGACACTGAAAAGCCACAGCGTTCGCTGGCCATGTCATATACAACAAGCTTTCCTAACGTTTAGCTGCCAGTTTTTTCCCCTCCTAGCTGCCTTACCTCTTCTGACACATTCGTGCCTGACGCCCCTTCCATCCTGTGTCACAACCAAGCCCGCCTTCCTACCTGTAATATATAATAAAATACATTAAATATACAAGAATGTTTTCCAAAACTAAAGGACTTCCAGCAGAACACAAAACAATTTTCAGTCAGAGCTACACCTTTCCGTACTGCAAATGCCTCCTAATGTCAGTGACTAGAAAGTTGTTCCCTCAAACAGCATTTTCCTGCATCGATTTCAGTCATAATTAAATCCAAGACATTCTGTCTTTAATGTCTGCCAACCGCTGCAGCCTGAGGGAACAATGGTGGCGCTTCGCCACCCTTTTGAATTCACTCGCTCCGCGCGCCGCGTCCTGATTGGAGGGCAGCAAACAAGGCCGCCCGCGAGATGCTGCCGACCCTGCATTACAAATATAACGAAATACAATTACCGCAACTTGTGCGCAGGTTGTTTTAAACACATTAAATCATACATGTAATTTTGTGCAAATCGGATTTCCTGAGGGCCTCATATGCTTCAATCAAGGTACCGAGCTAAATAAACATGGTAGATGGCAAGCTGAGGCTCCCCAGATAAATTGTGGCAATTAACCAAAGTCTTCGTTAGGGTGCGAATTATAACTGAGGTTAAGTTTGACCTTATTTGGACCTGCATCTTGAAGCTGGGTTTCTTTCTAACCAGATAGCTTGTCAGATTTTAGGTAGTTTGGACTAAATGTAAATGAAAATTAAAAATCAAAATAAAGTGTACTAAATGTGCGGTCCTTAAATCCAGCTAAACAAGAAATCTGCTCTGTGATACAGCCTCCAGATGGTACTGCAAGTCAGAACAGGTGTTCTGCCCTTTTCCTGACCCGACAAAAACTGCTTCCCAGCCCTACAGCGCATGTGTAAATCAACATTACATCACTCCTCTACAAACTCTAAAAAGTTTTGCTACTCTTGTGTGTTATCTCAAATGTTATTCATATTTTGTAGATATTTGTGTTTATCACATGCATTAAACATATCGAGATGACTGGTATATTGTTTGTATTCTAATTTCTTATGGACTCTTTAAATACTGGACCAGATTTTACCATTAAACACATGCATTTGTTTTGCCTGTTGAGACTACTTTTAATTGTGGTCTTAATTGTAATTAAGGCAAAAATATTTAATTTAAATAACAACTGAAAAGATTTAATTTCTGTTTGACCTGGATCTAAACTTGATACAAAAGCATTACATGTCCACGTTTTATGAGTCAAGAAAGAAAGGCCAGTTGTGTTTACTGGCAAAAGATTATAATTCCAGATATATACACACACACACAATTTTGTTTTGTTTTAAAGTGTGCTTTTTACTTCTTTACTGAAGTGAAGATCAGTGAGTCTGTTTAGAAAAATAAATATTTGTACAATTTGTACGATATAAATATTAAAATGGGTAACACACACTATAACATAAAATAAGAGTTAAAACCCTATTTTCATTTTTCATCACTGTCTTCCAAACATACTGTATGCAAAATTATTTTGACCTAATAATACACAATTTGGTAAGTTCCGTATATTTTCTTGATACACTATCAATATTGTTTAGTTAATCCTTGTATATTTTGAACGATAAGTCTTGAAACTGAAGCAGGTAAAATTCAACAAAAATACCCAGACCTTCAATGGTCAATTAGTAATCGCCATGTGATGAAAACCATTTTACATTACATTCTTACCCGGGCACTGAAAAACTATAGATATCAGTTTCTGGCAGCATAAAACTACGTGTGGAAAAACTGCTACCGCCAATTTAAAGTATAGGACAAAGTTTTATATAATTATTTTGATAGCATAAATCATTATACAACTGTCCATTCAAAACTGTGGGTAGGATATTTTGGCAAAGTAGCAAAAACGGAAAGAAATAGCCGAAGATTTATGCTACGGTAGCAAATTCGGGCAAGGCAGCAAAAAACGGCAGAACACCGGCTTACATTAAAGTGATTAAAATACAGGCTTACATTAAAATGATTAAACCAGGAACACAAATGACCGCAGTCTCGCTTGTCCATCCGTGCATTTATGTATGTTACATTTTTCTTATATCTGTACTGTCCTCAGGCGGTGTTTTATATAGTACTGGACTTCAGTAAAATCTATGAAAGATCTCTAAAAAAATTTTAAAGTAATAAATATTTCTTTGACTGTTAACGCATACAGTTGTTTTAATATTACTTCTTCCTAGTTGCAAACAACGCGAGAGCTTCTGTCGTGACGTTGCAGAGAATCCCCAGAATTCACAGTGAAAATCAAATCACAAAGTCGGCCCTCTTGAGGAATGGAGGGTGTAACGGCCAAAGTTATGTTACATTACATTATTATGCAGTGCAAGCCCTGTTAGCATGGCAATTGGTGTATAAGCACAATTTTTCACCCCACAACTATTTCATATGGAATAACAAAGATATATTATTTAAAAACAAATCTTTATTCTATCATACTTGGTTCAATGAAGGTATTCTTTTAGTAAGACAGTTATTTAATTCTCATGGATACTTGTTGTCATATACTGAATTTCTTCAAAAATTTCGATTACCAATTAGACCAAGAGATTTTGCTATTGTTATTGACGCAATTCCAAAAAGTGTGACAATACTTTTAAAAAATTATATTTCAGAAGGAATCAGCATAGTTAATCCTTGTGGAAACATTTTCATTGGAAATGTTGACGTGTTAAAACAAAAGTGTAGTAATAAGATTATAAGGAATGCTCTTCGTTCTGTGTCTTTACCTGCAGCAAGATTTTTCTGGTCTTCTTTATTTGATAATATCTCTTGGGTTAAAGCATGGAATCTGTCAAATAAGTTTTGTATCAATAACAAAATTAAGGAAGTGTCTTACAAAATACTTCATAGAATTTATCCTGCCAAGCATACTTTGGAAAGATTTAAGCTTAATATTTCATATACCTGTGAGTTTTGTGGTCAAGAAAAAGAAACCATTTTGCATATTTTTTTTCATTGTATTTACTCAAGAGTATTTTGGAAAGATATGGAATTCTATATTAGCAGAAAAATGGAATGTATGATAGAAATTTGTATATTTGATGTGCTTTTTTATACGGAAAGTGAAAGGTTGAATTGTAAAGAACAACATATTATACATTTGTTTATTTTATTAGGAAAATTCCATATACATAAGAAAAAGTGGGCTCGGTGTAAACCAAATTTTTCTCATTTTATTAACGACTTTAAATTGTATGTAAATCTCCTGGAACAAACAAAAAACAAAAAAGCACTGAAAACATGTAATGCTCTAAAATTATTGAAATTTATGTAATGTAATGTATTTTCTTTTCTTTTTTTTTCTATTTTATTCCTTCTTTTTCTCTAGCAGCTAATGTTAACTTGACATGATTGTGTAATACCTCTTGTTCCTGTGGCACTGAGTTAATAATAAAAAGAAAAGAAAAAAAGAAAATTATTATGCAGTGTGTCCTTTAAGAGATTTTGGTCTCCACATATAACGTGAGCTGCGTGGTCATGACGTAAAATGACTACGTGACTACGCCAAAAAGAACCACTATGGATGGATAAAAAAAAAGAACCACTATGGATGAAGCTAGTTCTTTTCTTTTGTCTGTAACGCCACGAAAAAGAGTTAATCTCTAATGTATGAGAGGAGCGTGTTTGCCGTGTACCAGCCATTAAATGTGTGGGACACCACTTTTCGCCTCCCATCTCCTTCATTTTATTAACTTAACGAGTTATCCGGTTTGAAGCGTTACAAGGGGGTCAATGGCAGTAAACTCTGGGGATAAATATAGGATTTGCAATATTTGTTTTACATGAGAAAAGCGGCGTACTGGAGTACAAACGTAAATGTACTTAATAAATCATATAACAAACTATTCTGTCTTGGGGGTAACACTAGAAAACGCTGACAGTAATATTTCATTGCCTCGCTGCTCATTCCAGGGAACGGATTTGACAATGCTAGCAGAGTTTCCACTCGATCCGTATTTTACGCGATCGTCCGCATTAAAAAATCGAAAGCAGTGTCCCGCTTTGAACCTATATGGGACACGATTTGTCCCGTATTTCACTATTTGCCGCCCGTATTTCACTGTTTGGCAAATTTTAATTTCAGGGACCTGTGAGGCGGGTTGGCTTCCAGTGTTTCTTCAGATTGAAAATAGAAGCCCTAATTGCTGCTGTCTGTCACTGTAAGCACTTGCATTACCCATACAGAATGTGAGGCTTCATATTTGAGAGATTTTTTCTGGACGAAATGTATGTCGTGAGTGATAACTGGCAACCCTGAATTGTGTAAGGGGGGGGCAGTCAGCACAAGTACGTCGGCGCTACGTCGCTGATACGTTTTTTTAAGGTCGGTATTTTGTAGCATTTCAGTCGTTTGCACATTGGCACTACGTAGCGCCTCCGTAACAGCTCCGTCCAGGCGATGTAATCGCGACGTTTTCCGTCTCAGTGATGAAAACGCAACGTCTAGGCGAAACTCCGCGACCCTTTTTAGTACCCTACGCGAACATTCCCCGACCCTTTTTATTATCCTACGCGATGATTCCCTGACCCTCTTATTATCCTACGATTGGCAATAATTATTTCAATGTTTGCTTTAGTGTTGAACACGTATCGATACTAATATATTTTATTTATAATATATATATAAAAAAATACAAAGGTGTTCGTTAAAAGAGTAAGAAAAAAAACAAAAACATGAAATACACACGTTACAAAAATTAAAATACTGAAAGAAAAGAACTATCGGACACGCCTGGTCAGCCTGTCACGAGCCACTCTGATGGTTGTTTCAGCTTCAGCCTCATTTGGACTAGACACGAGTGGGTTTCGTAATGCAGACTCTAAAAAACAGAAGACACAATTCACTTACATTAGACCTTATAAAATGGTAAATGTCAATCATGAACAGGTGAGTTTATTGTTATTCCTTTACATTGTGATTGTTCAATGCAGTCTGAAAAAAAGCAACTTTGGGCATTAAAACCAATGAAAAACTATGGGAAAGAATTATGTAACGTGCATGGGGAGGTTAAATCCATATTGTGTTTAAACCTTTAGGATAAAAACTTTATCCTGAAACGTCAAATTTTACCTTTGCTTAAACATTGGTTTTAATTACGGATAATCACATCTATGATGTTTGTATTCCTCATTGGTGTTTTGTCCCCTCTGCCACATCAGTTTAAATGAACTGCCAACTGGGGAG